GGTAAGGAGGCAGCTCTAGCTAAGCAGAGAATTCTGCATTCAGGGTTTTTTTAAAAAAAAAAATGGGAAGAAAACTGAATAAAGGCTATGACGTTACCTAACTGGCCTTCACTACCTATTTCTGATTACCACTCTCACCACATTCCTGGGACATAACATTGTATTGGGGGAACCAAGATTTTCCCTGTCTACCTCCTGCAAGAAATCGGGAGCAAATGTTCCAATATTCCCTATAAGTATTTTCAAAAAGAGAGGCTGCCTGATAAAGATATTGCTTTTCCTTTTAGGGCCTGAATGCTTAATCCAAAAGACGGGCTGAAAAAAAAATTAAGGAAAGGGGTGGGGGGGAATGTAAGTACCATACTTTTCAGAGTATAAGACACACTCTTCCCCCACCCAAAAAAAGAGGGTGGAAATGTTGGTGTGTCTTATAGACCAAATACGGCCATTTTTGGCCTCCCAACCCCCAACCCCCCAAAACGTATCCCATTTTCGGCAAAAATGGGCCCATTTTAATCCACCGGAATAGCAGTGCAAACGGGTGTTAAGCGAAAACCTTCATGATTGCATCTCAATAAAACAAATTCCCAGGCAAGATGCAACCTCCAGGCATCTCCCCGAGCAGCTAACTTGCTTTGGGCAGGACGTTTGTTTGGTTACAGCAGGGGTGGGCAGTTATTTTCCTCAGGGGCCAGATGAGGAACTGAGACTGTTGTGGAGGGCTGAATCAATAGCTCCCGGCTATGTTCCGTCCATCCACTTGCCTGCAAGGCCGCGCTTTGGCCAAGGTGGCAATGGGTGGCCAAGCACAGGTTCCCTCACGCAAAGACCATGCCACCTTGACCGCCTCAGGCTGCTCCAGGTGAGGGATGAACCTGGGCAGGCACAGAAAAGCGCTTTCTCTCCTCATCTTCCCACAGCTGACTGAAGGAGCACACAGCAACTGCACAGAACTGAGCTTGACTCTGGTTTCTTCTCCCGCCCTGTGGCATGCTTATTTACATTTAATTTCTAATTTTCAATTGACCTCACGGAGACAGGGACAGGCAAAGGGCCATAAAATGGCCAGGTCTGGGTTACAGGGTAGAAACAATCATGGAACTACGCACTCACTGTCTGCCGTTCAGGCCCGGCGTTGCCGTTTCATCTGCAGCTATCGTGAAGTTTCCGAAAGATGCAAGTTGACAGCTATTGTGTAGCATTTGCACAAGGAACGCTGGGCTAGAAAACGAGACTTTTTCACTGGTTGTCCTGCTGCTGTTGGGGTGGGGTTTTATTTGGCCTTTGGTGCCCCATTTTCTGTCTCTGATCTTCCTTTTTCCACCTCCAGATAAATTAGTGGGCAAAAGGAAACGTCACGAGGGTGAAGAAGCAGTCGAGATGGTTGAGAACACTGACAATCCTTTGAGATGCCCAGTTCGGCTGTATGAATTCTACTTGTCAAAGTGGTGAGTGACAGCTACATCTTTGGGCTCGTTTCTTCTCAAAAGGAGAGAGATCCCCAAACCCTCTCCTCCAACCCTGCCCCTTTTCTCTCCCCCACCCAGTTCTGAAAGCGTGAAGCAGAGGAGCGACGTCTTTTACCTCCAGCCAGAACGTTCATGCGTCCCCAATAGCCCAATGTGGTATTCCACTATGCCAATAGATCCTGGGACTTTGGACATCATGTTAACGCGCATTCTCATGGTAAGGGAAGTGCACGAAGAACTTGCCAAAGTTAAACCGGAGGACTCGGATCCGGAGCTTTCGGACTAAACTTGGGCGAAGGGGGAGGTTCTCTCTTTTGTTCGTTTTGTTTGTTTTGGTTTGGTTTCCTTCCCTTTCCATGGTATCTTGCAAAAAAAGCACCGAACTGAATTGCACCCGGCCTTCACTCATGTCACACACACACACACATACAGACACATACACACACAAAAAAACCCTCCGAAGGCACAGCGGAAGCTGCAAGAGGTTGCAAAATGAGACTCGGAAGGATGGAAAGTGACAGAAGATGCAGGAACACTGGAGAGCTTTCAGTGGCTGCAAACGCTCGACGAAGATGAACTGGAGACCTGTCTCTTCCCCTCTTCCCTGCCTCCCAAGTGGTGCTTGTAGTGGAATAAAAAAAAAATTATGGATGTGTTTTCTTAAAAAAAGGAAAGCAGTGGTGTACATCCTTCCCTCCTAACCATGGAAGCAAAGGAAGCTAGATTTAGACAGACACACACACACACACACACGAGTGATTTTGCAGTGTAAGCTGCCACCCACCCATGCATGGGGTGAGTGTCGCCTAACACTTGCTGTAGGACGCCAAGCAGAAGGTGGTGAGACAGTGAGCCCATGGGAATTCCATCTGTAACATACATGCCAGATCCCTTCCTTGCCCTCTCCCCTTTTATAATTTTTTTTGGGGGGGGGGTTTTTTTTAGGGGGGGGAAAAAACGTCGGGTTGTTCGAAAAGACTTGACTCAGCCAGAAGCTGAAGCAAAGAGTGGGGGAACTTGGTGGGCTGCCATCCCGTTTTCTGGCTTTTGGAAAAACCCTGGCAGCAGGAGCAAATCAAGTTTAGCCCGGCCACGACTCATTTCTGAACGAACTCGCGCACACATACTCAGCAGCCCCATACAGACGAATAGGGTTTGGTCCTTAGCCCTCCAAAACCACTTGAGTGCTTTCTTAAAGAGCAAGATACTCAAAAGTGGTTCCCGAGAAATTGTATCCCCACTTCCCTGGGTTGTTGTTTCTTTTTCCCCCCTCCTCTTTAACTGGCCTAGGCAGCGACTATTCACTCATTTTATAAATTACTTTTACAAATCCAGGAGAGTTGGAAGGTTGGAGGCCTTCAAGATGTTTTTGTTTTTTTGTTGCATTATCCCACTCACTGGTTTTATTTAAACAAGGCATCGTTAATCCTCGGCATGATTTGTGTACCGTCGCTTTTCATTAAAAAAAAAAAAAAAGGCATAGAAATCAGACTCCAAATCCGAAAGAGAATTTGGGTGGCTCGGCTTCGCCTCCTCCCTCCCTCCCTCCTTCCTTCCTCTGGGTAGAGGAAAAAAAAATCCCCTTTATCGAAACGCAGGGTGCATCGGCTTAGCCAAGTCCATTTCACCACCTTCTTCAAGCCGAAGACTTTTTTTTTTTTCTTCTCAAGTCTCCAAAAGATGGCTTTGAAAATTTGAAACTATTTTTTAAAAGAAAAAAAGGAAAAAAAAAAAACCAGGAAAAAAAATGTATGTTTTTATTAGCGGTTTTGTCCATTCACCAAATTTCTAAAGAGTTCTTTAAAAAAAAAAAAGCAAAAGAAAAAAGAAAACACCCTGTTGGTCTCTCCAGCATTGAACAAAGCCTTTTGTTGTATGTATGTGTGCGTGTGTGTGCGTGTGTGTGTTTGGGGTATTCTTTCTAACAGTAACAAAGGTTAACAATAAAATCAGAAAGTAGTCTTCTCTTTTGCTGTTGTAATACTTGATCGTTCCGTCTCCTGCCTCCTGTAAACCAAACCACGGGTGCATTTTGCAAAATGCAGAAAACCGTGTAAAAGGAAGCCAGCCTTTTCTAAGTACCTGCCCTCATGTCATATTTCTGTAATCTTTAACTTTAACTCCCCACGTCCATCCTTTTTTTAAACAGATACCCCACATTTTATATATTAAGGCAAATAATTACTAGCTTGAATGGAAGAAGAGATGTGGCAGAGCTGTGACTTTTCCAATAAATTTCCCAATTTGAATTGCATGGAATTTTTTTAGGTGTTTTTAAAATACACACGTGTATATTTTATTACATGTATATGCCGCCCACCTTGCGGCTCAAGGCAACTCAGGGGCTGACAATATAATAAAACGGATATACATAGATACAAAATAATCCTTCCGGCATGCCCACGCATATGTCTTCCCCTTTACCATGTAAGTTACATGAATTCGCAGTTGGATGTCAGATTGGTTTCATCAACAAACATGACTTTCTGGCACTTACCAAAAGAAAGTCAACTGGTGTCATAATTGCACAGAAACGTGCGCAGAGGTCTCCTAAGCACACATCGGGGGGGGGAAGCCATCAGAAGTGTGACTGTTTCTAACTAGCAGTCTTAAGATCGACCTAATGCCATTTATTTAGTGACCAAAGTTACAACCGCACTGGAAAAAGTGACTTATGACAGTTTTTCACACGTCTTGTTGCCGCATCCCCAAAGTCATATGAACAAAAATTCAGATGCTTGGCAACTAGTTCATGTTTGATGATCGGACACAGGACCACCTTTTGTGACCCAACAGAGTCAATGGAGAATTTAGATTCACTTAATTGAACAACTCATTTGCTTACAACTGTGGCCAGAAAGGTGGTAAAATGGGGCACTTACCTGTCTCGCTTAGCGACAGAAATTTTGGGCTTGGTTGTGATTGAGAGCTACTTGCATTCTTTATCCTTCCTTTTAAGAAACTGCCTTTTGATTGCTTTCAGAACCCAACAGGAAGGGAATTACTTAGGCCATCTCCTGTAGGATGGTGTTCTACCCTTCCAAATACCCCAGAGCAGGGGTCTCCAACAACCAACTTTAAGACTTGTGGACTTCAACTCCTAGAATTCCTCAGCCAGCAAAGCTTCAGAATGATAATGGACTGGTTTTTGTTAGCTATTTTCAAGCTTTTTTTTTTTTTTTTTTTTTAGAATTAAGCTAACAAAATATAGCATCTGTTTCTAAGGAATAACAATGAACGTCTGATTTACCCCTTCCCCAAAAAGGTGAGCCATCCAGATGGACTAGGACTAGTTTTATTTTGCTTGTGTCCATCAGCAACAAGGGAGAAAAGAACCTCACCAAAGGATCCCGTAAGATTGGGAAAAAAGTTTACTTTTTGCTTGCACATCTGTATTGCTTTGAGGTTCAGAAAAGAGGCTTGGGATTTTGCCTCTTCAGGACCGGAAAAGGGGAGGCGATTGTGAATTCAATAAATGGAAACCCACCGAAGTGGACATCCCATTATATTTCTTATAAACTGAAGCACAGAAAAATTTTAAGGTATTTTTTATTACAGCAAGAAAAGCAGTTGAACAAGTCCATAAGAAAGCAGGCTAAATTAAAATAGTTTAAGGACTCTGAAGATACAGCTGTTTCCCCTTCAAGCAGGTTTCTCTTTAGAGACCTTTGACAAGTCAGCTAATGTTATGGAGAAGAGGTGTGTTTTCTCTGGCCCCTCAACCGTAAACGTCCTTTAAGGCTCCCAGCACTGCTCCTGTGGCTGTTGTTGCTGCTGACACAGCAGTTGGCACCCCTGCAGCCCCTAGACAGGTATAAAACAAAAGATAAGGCGCCAGTCCTCATTGACCAAACCAATCCTTGCGTCAGGGCCAGGGCAGGAAACTTACCAATGGACTGCAGGGTGGCAACCAAACCGCCAGCAGCCACTCCGCCTCCGTTCGCGATGGCGGCAGTAGACATCATCTTGGCGGCAATTGAACCAGCCATAATTCCTGTGCCAGTGAAACCCGCAACGCCAACTGCGACCGGGATGCCTACCGCTGCCACCCCTGTAGAGCAAGAAAGCAAATGGAGCTGGCTGTGGTCCTTGTGTGCCAGAAAGAGTTCCCAACTTTTAGAGGCCAAGAGATACCACATAAGGATCTGGGCCAAGCGTATTCTGGAAATGGCCCTTTTGAGACCTTCCACTTCTCTTCCAGAGCAGGGGTGATCAGACTGTCTTCTGATAAACTTAAGGATCTCCAAACTTGGCAACTTTAAGACTTGTGGACTTAACAACTCCCAGAATGGTTGAGGAGTTCTGGAAGTAGAAGTCTTAAAGTTGCTAAATTTGGAGACCCCTCCGCTGTAGACCAACGTTGGAGTGATGGGGAAGAAAGAGGGCATGTCCTGAAGGCTTCTAGAGCAGGTCATTCCCAGAAGGATAGTTCTGCACATGTTCTGTTCCACAGGTTGGCAGTGGATGGTACATGATAATGCTGTCAGGATGATCCACATGTGGCTTGCCGATTCCCACCACTGGCTGCAGAATGATCCAATTCCAGTGGTGGTTTCTGACAGATTTTGGAGAACATGAACATGAAGCATGAGAATGGGAGGCGTTTAGCTAACCACCACCACCCCCACACCCAGGATGGAAAAGAGTCATGCCCTTCCAGCAATGCCCACATAGGACTTTTGGTGTTCCTCCAGAAGATGGCACAAAGTTGAATTGTGGTCCCTAATCCCGCAGCGAGTCCCTCTCCTTGAGAATGATTCAGTTTCCCCATCCTGGTTTCCTCCAGGTACAGATCGTCCTTGACTTATAACCACAATTGGGACTAGAAATCCAGACATAAGGCAAGGCACCCCTGTGATCAGACCCCAGGGAGAAGTTTACAATTTTTATGGCCGTTAAGCAAATGACATGGTAGTTAAGCAAATGGGCCGGTCGTTAAAACAAACCCATTCTTCTGAAACTGACAAAAAATATTACAAATCAGTCATGTGGCTGCAACTGGTTATAAAGGCGAGCTTACTGCCAAACGCCCAAAATGTGGAAAAATTTCCTGACAGAACAATTAACCAGTGGAACAGCTTTCCTCCAGAAGTTGTGGGTGCTCCATCACTGGAGGTTTTTAAAAAGGGACTGGCCAGCCATTTGTCTGGAATGGTATAGGGTCTCCTGCTTGAGCAGAAGGTTGGACTAGAAGACCTCCAAGGTCCCTTCCAACTCTGTTCTTCTGACCATGTTGGGGGAGTAGAAGCGACATTTTATCACAGCTGGAAATGTTTCATAGGCTTTAAAACATCCATTCCAAGGCTGCCATAACTCTAAGCAGTTGTAAGTCAAGGACTAACTCTATACAAATACTATAATCCCAGGATTCACGAGCAGCAAGGTTAACTCTTTCACCTTTGCCTGTCTTGGGAAATGTTCCTTTTGAACAGGAAGCCCAGAATTCCCACCCAATGTTCAAGGCTTTGGGGGGATAGAGTCCACACTACTGGAGAAGGACGAAGAGAGAAATCTCAAACTCTCCAGTTCCCACAAGGAATATAATAATAACTTTATTGTCATTGTATGCGTATACACAGTATACCCATACCACAAAATTCACTTAACACCCAAAGACCAGGTCCAACACACATAACAATCCCCAAATACTCCCACCCACCAGAAATTCCCCACCCCTAAACCACCCAAACATCCACACAACAGAACTGCACTTACATACTGGTGGAGGAAGAAACTAGGAACTTACCCAGGCCAATTGCAGCACCAAGTATAGAATCTGGGGATAAAGAGACTTAGGTTAACAAAATAAAGATTATAGTGCACAAGAATCGAAAAACCCAACAAAAGTTGTGCAATAGCAATCAAGACAAAATTGGACAACCACTTGCTGAATTCTATCTTCTTGACTATATTCATTCAACCACATTTTCCAACCTCCACCATACAGTAAATGGGACTAAAACATTGGTCATGTATACTTGGGTGATAGCACCATCCTGTGACCCTTAAGAGCAGGGGTGTCAAACTCTCATGACGGCATCGTCATGTGACATATCAGGACTTTCCCCCCCCTCGCTAAACTGGGCAGGGACGGGGCTAGCATATGACACATCCGGCCCACAGGCTGCGAGTTTAACACTGCTGTTTAAGAGGCTGCAGGAAAGCTGCCAACCCATTTTTCCCAAAGTGTCATGATCTTTAGAGAGATCACAAGACCAGAAATGGAGGGTGGTTGGAGCCCACTCATAAAATCTGGTGCACAAAGGGTTAAAAAGCTGAAGGAAAAGCTGTCGGGCACAAAGAATCAGGAACATAGTTAAGTTCTACCCGAAATGTGCTTTTTCCCAAGAGGCAACTGGACTTTCTGGGTTTTTTTTTCTTTGAAGAGGTTTCGCTTCTCATCCAAGAAGCTTCTTCAGGTCTGAAGTTCTAGGTAAGCCGATTTATTGCTCACGCCTATGCACAAAAATCTGCTCAACTAAAGATCAGCACTAAATTGGGGCTAGGTAAGAGTTAATGGAATTCAAGAGGGGTTAGGCTTGGATCCCTTGAGAACTTGACTCAAGTCCTCTCTTCACTCCACCCCCAAACGCTGCCTCTCCTCCTCCTACAAAAACTTCTATGAAAGCCAAAATTATTGCTCTTCTTTCCGTTGATATTGCTTTATTTTAACATCATATTGTTACTTATGACACTCGGCGCCCGAGGGAGACTTCCCTGCTGCCTCTGCCACCATAAATACCTAGCACTTTCAGAGTTTGCACCCGATCTCACACCCTCCGCATAACACTTTAAACCGAAGCAATCCGAAGCAGCACAGACTCACCCAGAACAGCTTTATCAACGGTTCCGCTTTTGATAAAAATCCCCGAATCCAATATAGACTGATGGCCTTGGAACAGTTCGGAAATATAATTCTGCTTTGTGGTCACAATCCTCAAAGAATCATTCAAGCCGGATGGCACTTTCGACCACAAAACCCCAACCCTCTTGAGGGTCGAAGCAGCCGCAGCCATGCAAGGCGCTGCCATTTTTGAACGCCTATTGTGTTGAAATGTAGTCTGGATTGCCAAAAGGGAGGGGCTGCTTTCCAGAGAACAAAGAAGGAATGGGAGCTTGAAGAGTTTGGTTGGCAGGAAAGGGGTTAAAACATCTCCTCCTTAATTATTCACAGAGTATATCTGCAATTACGCAAACAGTTTTTAGTCTGGCACAGTTCTTTTCTAGAGACATATGAATACTGTATCTTCAAAAGAATAAAATACACAAGGGAAGAAGGAAGCAACACAACTGCCTTTCTTGTATATCCTCATCAACAAAGGAACTGATGGCAAATTAGAGCCAGTTTGGTCTAGGGCAGGGGTGTTAAACTCGCAGGGCAGTGCTGGAGACAGCGAAGGACCAGCCTGCAGTGCCTCTGCCAACAATAATGGAGCTCAGGAGGGCTGCGTAGGGAACTTGGCAGAGATGGCAAAAATTTCAGCGTATTTGAAAGACCATTCAAATGAAAGATCTGTACTGGAGTGGAGAAGATGGATCGACTATATTCAAAACAAGTATCAGACTAAAAAGCTTCAAATAGCCTACGAATGAAATATTCAATCTAGTTTTTAGTTCATGTTCATAGGTTTTTTTCTTTTTGAACTATACGGAGTTAAAGACCAAGGGAGAATTTGGAGTCTATAAAATGTTAGCATATTTTAGTTTATGATTGTTAAATGCTATACCCTGTATTTGCTCTGGGAAGTCCGGGGGTGGTGGAGTGGGGGCAAGGGGGAGGAGGGGGTGGGAGGGAAGCGGGGAGAAAATGTCTGTATCTTTGATAAAACTTTTTAATAAAAAAAAAATAATGGAGCTCAGGAGGGCTGCATACGGCCCTCTCGGGCTCAGTTTTCACTGGCAGAGAGCTGCAGGATGCCGTCAAAGCCGAAATGGAGCTCAGGAGCCCATTTTCACTGGCAGAGCACTTGGGCCACCACAGGTGCCCCCGACAGGAGTGATATCAAGCTAGCCACACCCACCCCGGCCCCTCAAGGTCAAATACAACCGTGATGCGGCCCTCAATTAAATTGAGTTTGACACCCCTGATGATCTAAGATATTTGATCTAAGATGTTTCCTCTGCCAAATGGACTCTAAAATGAGTATCTTTTTACTCTGCCTAGCAGGGCCTCCTCCCCTTCAGCCTGTGGTTCCACATCAACCATCCACCCCAAATTTCTTGTATGACAATAATCTGATAACTATTACTTTAATGGTACAGCATCGACACCCCTGCTCTATCCTGCTCAAGATGGCTCCCACCAGACCCCAAAGGATTATAAACCACCATGTCTCAGCCGATTAAGATTTATCCGAAAGGATAAAATATTTAATCATTCATAAAACTACAGCAGCTAGAATTGTACTTGCGCAAGCCTGAAAAACATCCACTATACGAACAGACTGTGCAATAATTGGAAAATTTTCAAATATGCAAGAAATGGACAAACTTACTTTAGAATTAAATAATAAGGAAGACTTGGAATACTACTTAACTTGGGAAAATTGGTATTGATGGATAGAAATTAAAAATAAGGAATGTATAGAATAAAATAAGATATAAAATGTGTTTAAGTATATTGATTAAGTAGGAATATGTGGGAAAAGTTGAAGAAAGTTGAGAATTACATACTGTCAGAAAGACGTTGAATTGTATAATTATTACGGATGTATTTTTGTTATAGATGTATTTTAACTTGTACTTTTGGATTTTAAATGTTAATAATATGAATATAGAAATGTAAGAAAGTAAAGATAATCAAAATATATAGATCTCTATAGGGGGAAAGATAAGGAGGGGAAAAGAAAAGAGAATAGGAGGAGGGGAAAAAAAGTATTAGATTAAGAAAAAGGGGAAGAAATAGAAAGTATCAGATGGAAAACCACTATGAAACAATGCTTAAAAAGGATAAGCTATTTATTTATATGTTGTATGTTGTGTAAATGTCTAATTTGTGTTTTAATAAAATTTTTAAATTTTTAAATTATATATATATGGAGAAATTTGGAGAGTTGAAAATCCACAATTCTTGAAATTGCCAGGTTTTTGGTCTCACAATCGCGTATATGGCAAAAAAAAATAAAGAGAAACAACAGTCAAGGAATAAGTTGTTAGAAGAACTCAGAACATATGAATTAGAATTGCAGAAGGACCCCCAAAACAAAACAATAAAAGCAAAATTAAATTTTACTAAACACAGAATCAATCTGACTACCCAGACAGAAATCGCACAGAAAATTAAATTAGCAAAGCAGAAACACTTTGAGCATGCAAACAAAACGGGGCGCTGGTTAGCGTATAAATTGAAAAAAGAAAAAGAAAGGAGAACAATATTTCAATTGCAAGACGAAACAGGACAAATACACCATACCAACCTAGACAAAAAACGTATAGTTAAAGACTTCTTTCAAAGTCTCTATAAGGGAGAAGAGATTCGGGAGGAAGACATTAAGGAATACCTAGGTAAAACAAACATCATAAAATTAGAGAAGTCCCATAGAGAAGCATTAAATAGACCAATTACGATGTCTGAGCTGGTGGAAGCAAGGAAAAAGCAAAAAAACAACAAAGTTCCAGGCCCGGACGGTATACCAACGGAGTTTTATAAGAACTGTCAAAATGCAATGGATGAACTGTTACTCCTGGTTCTCAACGATGCATTATTAGAGGCAGAAATTCCCAAATCCTGGACTGAAACCATCATTACACTTATCCCTAAAGAAGACACAGACCCCACACAAATTAAAAATTATAGGCCGATTTCACTGCTTAATGTAGATTATAAACTCTTCATGTTGGTCATAACGCAAAGACTGAAAACAATTATTCATAAATATATACATACGGATCAGAACGGTTTTGTTCCAAAAAGACAGATCAAAAATAACATAAGAACAATTATTAATGTCCTGGAACATTACGAGAAAAGAAACGATAAACAAGCAGCCTTACTCTTCTTAGACGCACAAAAGGCCTTTGATAATTTAAACTGGAACTTCCTCATATCGCAATTAGAAATTATGGACTTTGGTGCTAAATTTTTACAAATGATTAGAAGAATATACTCCCTCCAAACGGCCAAAATTATGATCAATGGAGATATGACTGAAAACTTAGATATACAAAAAGGAGTGAGACAAGGCTGCCCCTTATCCCCATTATTGTTCATAATCACACTGGAAATATTATTAAATGAAGTCAGGAAAGACCCCGAAATAAAAGGCTTGAGAATACGGAAAGAGGAGTACAAATTGCAAGCCTTTGCTGATGACGTGGTGTTTATAATGGAGCAACCGGAAACAACAGGAGCCAAACTTTTAGCGAGGATAGAGGAATATGGAAGAGTCGCAGGGCTTAAAATTAACAAACAAAAAACTAAAGTGTTAACAAAGAACTTGACAAAGGTACAAGAGATACAACTAGAAGACAAATTAGGAATACAAATTGTAAAGAGAATAAAGTATTTAGGAATCTGGCTTACGGCCAAAGCAATAACAATCAGAGAAGACAATTACAATAAATTAATGAAACAAATTAGAAAAGACCTGGAAACGTGGAATAAATTACAACTGTCATTCCTAGGGAAAATTGCATCCATAAAAATGAACATACTCCCTAGATTACTCTACCTTTTCCAAGTAGCCCCAATCTGGCCAGGAAAGAACTTCTTTAAGGACCTTACTAAAATAACAACAAAATTTATTTGGAATGGGAAAAGGGCCAGAATTAAAATAAAATGTATGCAAGATACCAGGGAAAAAGGAGGCCTAGGCCTACCGGACTGGGAGCTATATTATAAAGCAGCGTCGCTAAACTGGATAAGGGACTGGATAGATCTTAAGAATAAAAGAATGTTATCACTAGAAGGCTTTGATCTACAACACGGATGGCATGCCTTTCTCTGGGAGGGAAAGGATAAGCACCATGGGTATTTTCAGCAACATATCATTAGAGAAGCATTGTACAAATCATGGCAAGAGGTTAGGAAACATTACACCAAGATCCCACGATGGCTATCGACAATGGAAGCACAAATATACCCCAATGCTATGGACATAGCGAAAATGAGGACTTATAAAGAACTACTGAACAGTGAAGGAGAATTACAAACAAGACAAGAATTACAAAATCAGGGTATAGACATTGATTGGTGGCCATACATGCAAATAGAATCAAGATACAAAACTGATCGGGCACAATTCGGATTCCAAAATGAACCAAATGAATTGGATAAAATATTACAAAGTGCAGATGAGAAAATGATCACCAAAATTTATAAGTACCTATTACAATACAAATTGGAAGAGGAGGTTGTCAAAGAAAACATGATAACATGGGCCAAAAACATAGGATATACTATTGAATTGGATAAGTGGGAGAATTTGTGGAAGATAAATTATAAGATGACACTGTCCATACCCTACAAAGAAAACCTTTACAAAATGTTCTACCGATGGCACCTCCCACCGGCGCGTCTAGCCAAGATGTTCCCAAATACATCTCCGATGTGCTGGAAATGTAAATCACAGAAAGGGACATACTACCATCTCTGGTGGCTATGCCGAAGGGCAAAACAATACTGGCAACAAATCAAAACAATGATTGAAGAAATTACGAAACAAAAACTTGAAATGAGACCGGAAACCTTTTTATTGGGAATCATCACACCAAATTATACCAAAGAAATAAAATATCTAATCATTCATATCCTCACAGCAGCACGTATACTCTTTGCCCAACATTGGAAATCTGAACAGTTACCTACAGAAGACAAAATAATAGCTAAAATTACAGAATGCGCAGAATTAGATAAGCTTACAAAAGAAATACAAGAGAAAGATGACACTGATTACTATTTAGTATGGCAAAGATGGTACGGCTGGCTGGAGGCAAAAATAGGAATACAAGGATAGTTTATGACTAATCAATAGAAATGTATAGAAGTAAATAAGGAATCAATTATATATATATATATATATATATATAACCATGTAAACAGATGATTATAGACATTGATATAAATCGAAAAATGGAAAATACCCCACCGTTATAGTAACTTCTAAGAGTCAGTCATTGGACTGAATCGATGTTTGTTAGTTTTGTATGTCATTTTATGTATATATGTTGGTTTTGTTTTTTCTTTTTATTATTAATAAAAATTTATAAAAAAAAAAAAAGAAATTGCCAGGTTTTGGAGACCTCTGCTCTATATCGACAAAATTGTGGGGTAATCTTTATATATAAAGATTATATATAAAGATTACCCCACAATTCTGTCGATATAGAGCAGAAGTCTCCAAAACCTCTCCAAATTTCTCAGCCAGCTGGGCACAGAGCTTTGAGAAAAGTGGAATTAACAGGAGGTATAACTTCAGCCATTGAAATTGAGGTTAGAAAAGTGCAGACACCTAGCTTACAATATTTACTCTCTTTTGCAGTTCAGCCATTTACAGTAGTTCAGTGGTTCCCAACCTTTGCAGCTCGGCAGCTGGCTTTGGGGGTGAGGTGGTGGGGGAGAGAACTGGGCCATGCAAGAGGCTGGCTGGCATACGTTCATACGCACACAGCTTGGCTCCTGCAATTTGATTTGGCTTCAACGGTCTC